TTTTTGGCCATAGCATAATAGAAAGCCAGCGCTTATAACCCGTTTGAAATCCTCCAGGACATAAGTTTCATCGTCCATAACAACGCATGAAAACTCCGTCAAAAATTCACAGTACAAACGTCGAGCCCGTGATTTTGCTGTCAAATTATGTTTGTCGTTGCGATTTGGAACTGTTTTTACTTCATACGACTTTGAGTTTTGGACAAAACCAGGTGACATTCCTATCTTACGAGCCACCGTTCGAACAGAGAGATTCTCAATATCCTCTTCACCTTTCGGTCCATGACAGTTTCAGCACGTCCAATGTTTTTATCACTTGTCGGTTTCCTCTCGACCGTCAAACGTTTCGACAATGAGTTGAGCACATCGTGAACAGTGGATTTAGGTAAATCCAAGTGTTTTGCAAGTTCCCGTATTGACAAGTCAGGATTTGAATTACAGACGTCCGTACAAAATCCGCTTTCGCACGTGTTTATCATTCGTCGCCATCTTGAACACTAAACATGGAATGTAAACACCAATCATAGTCTTTTTCATCAATGACTCCCAGCGAAATTTTTCACTCCTACGTGCAATATTTCAAAAGTTAAAAGGATTTGAAGGTGTCCGGATTAATGTGGATACCTTATACTGGGGTCCGACTGGTTTCGTGCGAGTCAGGTTTTCGTTTTTGAAGAGCTTTTTTAGACCGGGATCTTAATTTTTTTTAAATATAATTAGGTGCTATTATTTGGAGTTAGGGAAACATAATTGATATGAAACTAACTTGCATCAGGGTGGCCACTTAACCAGGAAAGCCGGGAGAACCGATAATTAACCGTAAATCAAAATCAACCGGGAAAAAACTGGTAATGCATTGGCCACCCTGATGCATGTAATACGTAAGTTCTAGATCTTCTACAAGTCAATCCACTGACGTCTAGAGTGCATATTCATGTCAGAAATCCAAATCAATCATAGCTACGAGTATATTGCTGTGTAAAAAATCTATGATCTTAAGAAAAAGTTTCATTCGACACTTTTACGGTTGTTCTGGAAGTTCTGAAGAACAAGCTGGTGCTGAAATTCATGGCATTTCTAGATCTTCAGGTACCTCATAAATCTACAGTAGTAACACTTGGAACTGAAATTGTTGTTACTCCACTACTGCTAGGAGCTTCTGGAACACAGTTCCAGAGGATGTTGGAGTCCTGACTAGGGCTCTACATTTTCGAAGCTCTAAAATGAACTCGACTTTTGTATCTTTCATACAGCATGTTTTACGCACCGTTTCCCTAACGATGGATGAGGATTTTTTCGTCATTGCTTTGCTCACCGAACAGTTCTTTTCTCGGAATTTCCTCAAATCTGTTCCCTTAAATTCTGTTTATAATTCTCTGTGAATGCTTGTAATAACTATCTTAGGTTTCTCATTTAAATTAACCTGTTGTTCTCCTAAAGATCCCCGTACAATTCTCATCAGGATTTCCATGACATTTTCATTGAATTTCTCCTCAAAACTCCATTGGAATTATTCTTAGAACAGCATAAGAATTCAATTCAGAACATCATTTTTCATTCTCCCTAGAAATCCTTTTCAATTCGTCTCAGTATTTCTTAGGACTTCATCTCAGAATTATGTTGGAATTCTGGTCAGAACTCCTTTCAATTTCTCAAAGATTTTTGTAGGAGTTCTCTTCAGCATTCTACAATTAAATTCTAATCAAATTTTCCTCAAAATTTCATCGGTATTCGCGTCAAAATTCTATGGAATATTTTGACATAGGACTACGTCTTTAATTTTTATAATGGCGGTCACATTAAAAAAAATCAAAATTCAAACATGTAATGAAAAATCCTAAACACGGACGCAACGATAGAGCGCAAATCGAACAAAAGACACACTGCGCATGCTGACAAAAGCGAGCTCAATGCTCGGTTGATCGCTCACCATTTCACCAATGAAATGAAGGGAGGAGAAAAGCAGCGATAATAGAAACGCTTGCCAAATCATTTTCTTCATTTGCTTTCGAGCAACGGATGGATAAGTGACGGACACGACGTATGAGTGGCACAGCACGCGTCGCACCAATACGAAGACGACGCAGTGTTGTCACATTATTTTCAATTTCAATCTGTATTTTCACCGTAACATTTTGTTTAAATCTATTTCTGGTTGACAAAAATCTGTAAAATAATCAGTTTAAATTTGTATAGTATGATTGCGGATCGTCGTAAATATATTTTGAGTTCATTTGAAGTTCAGAAATAGTTTTTTCATAGTTCAGAATATTGAAGAAAGACTTAAGTTTTAAAGAATTAATCTATTTAAAAGACCTCGAAATCCTTAATTTTGATTTTTTTTTTTCGAGTGATTTGTATCTTTTCAGGGCCATTAATTCAAAAACGGATAGAGTTAAGAACTAAATGATCAACATATTTGTTCCGTCCACTAGCGGTCCTACGATAAGCTTCCATTCGTGCCCCTAGGCACAGACCTTTCTACTTTTTTTTAAATTGTTTGAAACCTGAAAACTCTTCCCAGAGCCTTGAAAACATTCCAAGACTTATTATAATGATTTACTTTTATGTTCATTTTTAAAAATACCTCTTTTTGAGTTGTCTGTCCCAAATAGTTGAAAAAATGTACGCATCACGAAATTTTTTATTAGTCACAAATCTCGAGAAAAATGTCTTCGACTTCAAACAAATGTCAAAACCTCAGAATTATAGAAAGCTTCTGAAATAAATAAATAAATTTTTGTTTGTACATACTACGGAGTGTTAAAACATTTTCTTGCTCCGATCTGTTTTCCCTAGATTTTATTTTAATTAAGTTCAAGATTTCTGAAACAATTCCTTAATTCAATTTCTCAAACTTTACAGTTTGGTCTAATGAAACCATTCAGCTCGATAGCCAAGTGATCTTGCTAAAATCCATCAGTAAATTATGTAAATAATTAAAAATGAGATTGATATTTCAAAGTATTGGAAATTGGAAATCACTCCTGCTTTGACTCACCAGCGAGAGAGAGAGAGAGAGCGTATGTTAAGAAATATGTTCTGTTCTCCTTATAGGTACAACTTTTTGTTCCCGATATGTGATGAGACTCGTGAACTATATATGGGACAATGGTATACAACGCACCTCCTGGGCAGAACGCACCAGCTGACTTTCCTTTGTGTTTTTCATGGCTTTTACGTAACTGTTTTGTTGTAGCACTTCTAGCATAGCATCTGACCTCAAAATCCTAGAATTGGATTAAAAATTCCAAGAAAAACTCAAAATAAAATGAAAAAGTGCGTCCTACCCCGGGGGTGCGTTGTGTACCGTTTTCCCCTACTTCATTCGTAACTCCTAAGCAACCGTTGAATTTTTAATTGCTGTTATGAGTAACGCAAAACAAGAGTTACAGAAAGTGAATGTGTATTAGATGCATCCTAAATGTATACTTTCACCAACAATAACGTACTGGTTACTCCTACATATAAGCAACATACATATCATTATGCATAAATCTCGATGAACATTTCAAATGGTTCTATCTGCGAACCACTGCTATGCAAACAGAATTCGTGCTAATTCTACCACATAGTTTGATAAAGGAGGTTCTTATCTAGCGTCCAAAACGTCAAATACAACAGGGAAAGGTTTTGCAGCTGAGTTATTGATGAAAGAGAAAGTCGATGAAGAGAATCGATCAATGCAGATAGGACCTTTTGAAATGTTTATCTAGAAATCATAACATCAAATCTAAAAAAAAATAAATAAAAATAAATTGTGGGGTTGTGTACAAGACATGACCGCATGGTTGACGTAGACTACATTTTGTTCCTTAACTGTAATCAGATATGAATGTGAAAATAGGAACATATGATGAAATATAAATAAGTTCCACACCTTAATTTAAGATTGCAGACTGAAGAGACGATTATGAAATAAGGTGTAAATTAACAAAAAAAAAAGAGAGAGAGAGAGAGAGAGAGAGAGAAAGAGAGAGAAAGAGAGAGAGAGAGAGAGAGAGAGAGAGAGAGAGAGAGAGAGAGAGAGAGAGAGAGAGAGAGAGAGAGAGAGAGAGAGAGAGAGAGAGAGAGAGAGAGAGAGAAAGAGAGAAAATGTTTACCGCTGACTTGCTCCTGCTTGCAACGCCGTCCGAAGCGGAAATGAGCAGAGGCACAACAGTAGTGCTGTTTTATAACTTTTTAGGTTCAAGCAGAACGATGTGCATCAAAGTGTTACTCGATTATGACGACTGGGTTTGAGGGAAACGTTTATTTATTTTTTTATTCGTATATTTTTAAAGGTTTTTCATGGAAAATTGGACCAGTATTTGTAGAAATATTTCCTATCGATTGGTGTATTTGGATTTTAGTTTCATCTATAAATGACAAAGTTACAAGCGTTCAAAACCTAACATCTTTTCGTGACGGTTGCAATTTTAGATTTTCGATCCCCTGTACCGTAAGACGTAGTCAACGTCAAAAAGAAAACATCAGCAGACTGGTAGAAGTTCAGCGAGAGAATTTCATACCCCGACAAACATAGGAGACAAGAAACTGAACTAGCGTTTCTGAACTGAATCTCGTTTCTCGATTTTTTTTTTTGTGAAATAGCTTGAGAGAGCGAAAACGGAATTCTCTTTCGGAATCGTTTGCTGCACTGTTTCGCACATCTCGTTCGGGAACTTTTAATCGCATTTCGTTCGTGATTTTTGCATAGCTCATTCTTCAGCGCTATGATTCTCTCAGCGAAAGAACTTTTTTTTTTGAGAATGAACTTTCCAACACTGGTCACCCTGAACTATGATATGTTCTCGTAAATTTGTAGTAATTGAGTAATATTATTTAACATTTAAGTCAATTGTATAACCTTTAATAAATCAATCATTCCATAGGGCAAATGTGTCAGAAGTACTAATGGTCCATGCTTGAAGCATTCAGTTCAATACGTTCCATCAATATAAGTCGACTAAATCACTAATCCACCTTTTTACCTTCATTTCTTTTACCCACACCCACAGAGCCATGCCCGTGGACCCAATGGACGACATCGAGCTTCGCTCCGTTCAGCTGCAGTACCCCAACCAGCGGGGTTCGATCGTAGGCCAATGCGACCTGCGGCGCGTCCCCACGGACAAGGGCGACATTCTGGTCGCGGTTCAAGGCGATACAACGAAACCAGGCATCGTTACCTACCACGATCTGGGTCTAAACTGTAAGTCCCCATCAAAAGCATTAGATTTATCAGTCTTCCCGCTCTCCACCTTCCACCCACTCCCGACAATAACTTAATTAAGACTGACAACGGAGCGCATTAGATCTTTCGAGAGGCGAAGAAAATGGGTCCAATCTATGTACCCTTTTACCAACACGGTTCAACTGAAGGAAAATGAGCATTCAGTCCGGGGCACTTTGCACTTTCCAGTCCCGTCCCGTTCGTTGCCACGCCTGCCTACATCCTCAATTGTAATTTAATTTCCCCTCAACGGTTCTCCTTCCCTTCTTCAAAGGGAAACATTTCCAATTTACTTACAAACGATTTTCGCTTTGATTCACTCGTGTTGCTGAGCACACACAAACTCTCCCCTACCATGCCCATATCGTGCGCTTCCGAGTAACTTTCCCTGTTCTTGCAGATGCATCGAGTTTTGCAGGATTCTTCAACTTCCCATCAATGCGTGCCCTGTTAGATAACTTCTGTGTCTACCATGTAAACGCTCCCGGACAGGAGGAAGGAGCACCCACCTTCCCGGAAGAGTAAGTACTTTCAACTGCAAATAAACCAAGAAGTGCACTTTCCTTTCCGCACTCATTGGAACTGCTACATGGGTTCTCTTTTCCTTCTTATTCCAGCTACGTGTACCCAACGTTCGATGAGCTTGCATCGCAGTTGCTGTTTGTGATGTCACACTTCAACCTGAAGTCGATCATCGGACTGGGCGTCGGTGCCGGTGCCAACATCCTGGCCCGGTTTGCTCTGGCACACCCGGACAAGGTAGGACCTTGAGTTGAGAATTTACCTTAAACGCTGTTGGACTGAGGACATTTCTGTTTCTATTTCATAGGTCGGTGCCCTCTGCCTAATCAACTGCAGTTCCACAGCGGCCGGTTGGATCGAATGGGGCTACCAATTGCTGAACTCACGCAATCTTCGCACCAAGGGCATGACCCAGAGCGTGATGGACTATCTGATGTGGCACCACTTTGGGCGGAATCCGGAGGAGCGAAATCTGGACCTGGTGCAGGTTGGTTGGCCACAATTGATGCTAAATGGTTTGGTTTACATTTTCTTCCCCCCGTCCTCCCGTAGCTGTACAAATCCAACTTTGAACGTTCGATAAATCCCGTCAATCTTGCCATGTTCATCGACTCGTACATCAAGCGTACCGATCTGAACATTGCCCGGACACCGTCGGGTACACCACAGACAGGTAATTATTAGTGGACCTGTTTTCAGAGTGTGGACAATTAATTATGGAGTTTTTGTTTTTTTTTCGATTTTCGGCCGTAGCTGCATCACTGAAAATGCCAGTTCTGAACATTACAGGAGCATTATCGCCACACATCGATGACACGGTGACATTTAATGGAAGACTAGCTCCGGAGAAGACCAACTGGATGAAGGTATGTACGTGTGGGGTTAGGGCTGCAGTTTTAACTAATAACGCGTGATATTTTTTTGTCAATAGACATAATATATAATGGATAATACAGCTGATTAACATTCAGACTATTTGAGACTGTGAAGTATTAGCCTAGTTTAGAATTTCGGGATTCTTTTATAATCAATACTTTACTCCCTGATCTTCGACTTCATGTCTTAGATTATGGTCATTTTAAGAGCTACACTAAAGCAGGAACCGTCTAGATCTAGGTTAGGGTGGCCTAAAATAAAACTTTGCCTGGAATTTGAATTTCCATTTTGAAATTCCTGGATTTCCTGGTTTTCCTGATCAATGATTTAAAAATTTCATGGTTTTAAAAACCATGTATTTAAAAAAACTTTTTTTTAATAAAATAAAAAGATATTGAATCCTTGTACCATCATTCTTCGCACAATGCGGAATTTCACAAACCAAAATAGGTATTAAGGTTCTTGTGAATGCCCGTGAAATCTTTATCTGATTGTTTGCCGCGCTACTTAGTCGTATTATGGCGCCTATTTCCGTTATATGTGCTAAAACTATAATAACAAAGCGTTTTCACTCATGTTTTTGCAAAAACATCTTTGCTTACAAGATTAATTACGATTGACACTGAAACATTTGCGATAACCCGTAAAATGAGCGATTTTAGGGGTGTATGACGAAGAAAAGCTGAGATAGACGGACTAGCGCGGAGTCCTATCTAATGTCCGAAATTTAGAGATCTATAAGCCCCTAAATCTCGAGATTTTTGTTTTTGAAACTGCGATTTTTTTAACTGTGAGATTTTTAGCCAACGGGCTAGTTTATCTCAAGGTGAAATTGCGAAGTGTGATATGAATGAGGGCTCTGTAAACAAACCTTTGCTTCTAACAATTTTACGGATTTCCAGTTTGCTTAAATTTTCCGCAAATTGTCAACGATTAAGGATCTTATTTAGTGGAATTTTGATTACAACATGATTTCTAAATCATATGATTAAAAGATTTCATAAACAACGCTGGTTTAATAACTCTTATTATTAAAAAGACTGACTGCTGAAGTTCATAGAAAGTCCCTAAAGTTCCCTGAAGCGTTAAGGTCTTTCCTGAAGTATTCATTGAAGTTTGTATTGCCTGAATTTCATGGGACTTCCCCGAAGTTTGAAGGATTTTTTTAAATATCTTAGGACTTCCCTGAAGATCGGAGTTTTTTGAAATTCATGGGAATTTCTTAAATATCGTAGAAGTACCACGAAGTTCGTGGAAATTCTCAGAAGTTCGTAAGACTTCCTTCAAGTTCGAAGAACTTTCTCGAAGATCTGAGGACTTCCCTGAAGTTTGAAGGACTTAACTGAACATATGAGGACCCTAAATTTTGAAGAGCTTCCCTGAAGATCATAAGGCTTTAAATATCGAAGGGTTTTCCAGAAGTTTGTGGGTCTTTTCTTAATTTCTTGGAAATTTCCTGGAGTTTGGAGAGCTCCCATGAATTTCGTAGGACTATCTGTAGTTCAATCGACTTCTCGGAAGTTCTAGGAACTTTGTTGAGCTTGGAGAACTATGTTAAGTTCAAAAGACTTCCCAAGAGTATTGAAGACTTCTCTGAAGCTTGGAAAATAATCCATAAGTGTCATAGGATTATCCTTAAGTTTTAAGCAATGCCTAAACTGCCGATACTCGCATAATTGTCCCATATTTGCTTGATTTCCTATTCATATGGGACAGTTATGCTTTTATGGGCAGTAAATGTCATAGAAGTTACATTAAATCTGTAGAAAATTCTGTAAAATTCGTAGTTATTCCCCACAGTTTAAAGGACTTTCCTGAAGTTCGTAAGACTTCTCTGAAATTTGTAGAACTTCTCTGAAGGTTCGGAGAGATTTCCTGACCGTCGTAGGTCATCACAGTAGTTCAAAGGATGTTCCTGAAACTTGTAAGACTTTCCCGAATTTTGTAGAACTTGCATGAAGTTCGAAGGCCTTATCTGAAGTTTTAAGAAAGAGAACTTTTTTATTGAACATGTTGAACAGGTACTTCAAAGTAGTTACGCGTCGGCACTGCTTAAGTCTGCTATCAATAAAGCACAAATCATACATGCAATTGATTCGAGAAAAAAAATTAAAATTAAATTAAAAATAAATACAAAATATATTTACTAAACTCTCCGGGTAAATTTTGTTCATCAATGTTTAGTTGTGTGAAAGATAAAGCTTGAACAAAATGGTTAGTTTTGACCTGATTATAAAAAGAAACTTTGACATACATAAAATTTAAAACCTTTTTAAATATACAAACAAGATTATTTTCCAGGTGGACTTATGAAATTCCTGGTTTTTTTTCCCGGTTTTTCCTGGTGAAAATAAATTCCCGACTTTTTCCCGGTTTTCTTGGTTCACTTGCCACCCTGAAATTTTAACTAAAAATTTATCGGAATTTTTTTTTAAAGTTTGAAATCAAAATTACCACGGAATTCTTTTCAGTTTTCCCACGTTATTAATCCAATAACTACCTTAGATTTTTGCTCTGAATTATGTTGCTTTTTTCTTAACTTTACCAGAAAACTCTCATTGTAATTACCTTAAAACTCTCCTAAGAATATTCTTGGAATCGTTTTTAGAAACCTATGAAACCATCCTGAGAACTAGATTACTTTACAAATCTTTTAATATTTTCTTTTAACTCTTGCCAAATATCTCATCAGACTTAGTTATGAATTCTCCTCAGAAATCCGATGGAATTTTCCAGAAATCCCAACTGAATTTCTGAAAACATTCCTTAGAATTTTTTCAAAACTTTCCTTAATTTTTTTTTGAGTGTTCCCCAGAATACGATTCTTTTGGTATTTTCCTTGTAGTTTTCTTATAAATCTTCCTCAGTAGTCCATTAAAATTCTTTTCTGAACACATTTTTTGAATTCTGCTTTTAATTCTCTTTGAATTCTCAGCATAAGTCTCGGAATGTTCATTAAAATTCATCTGCTATTCTCCTCACGATCCCCAAACAATACTTCTCAGAATCAGCTAGCAATTCTCCTTGAAGTTCTCCGTCTAAGAATATCGTTAATCTTCTTCTTCTTCGCCTTTCAAGCTTATTGCTTATCGCATATAAGCCTATTGCGTGCTATCAACTTAGCGTTCTTTCGTGTCTGTTTCAGTGTTTATAATACAATACAAATTTCACCTAGCTTTTATCTCCTTTGCTCATTTCCTCTCCTTCTGGTTCATCGTCTGCTTCTCTATTCATTTCACCTTTACTTCTTATACTCTCTTTTCATCATATTTTTTCTTCGCCATGTTTTTCGGTTTTTTTTAACTAGTTCGTTTATTTGGTAGGCTCAATCGCGTTAGCTTTACGGAGCCGATAGTTCATTGTTCTTTGTTTGTAACATAATTCACTTAATTCTATGTCTGGTAGGAGTTGGGCCGAATACTCGCGGCTTACTCGAGCTTAGAGAGGTACATTGTCGAAAGATAGGATCAGGGGAAAAGCTTGGGGGTAAGGTTTCGTTGTCTCATCAGAGTGTTGTCGCCAGTATGAATGGTAGTGCGGTTCCAGTTTCGTCTGGAGTTCGACCGGCTATGGTGACCAGTGGGCGACGATGAGACTCATCGAGACGGGGGACAAGACAAACAAAAACTATTAAAGAAAGACAAAAGACAAAGGAATTAAATTCTTATATTAGACATTTGAAGAAACACATAAACCAACTGCATATAGCAGATATCGCGAGTTCCCAACACGTCTCTGATAGGAACATAGGGTTGTCTTCCTTGGGCCTCAAGGGTAATCAAAAGTCGCTCTCTGGTGGCGTAATTATCCGTACATTGACAAACTGCGTGATCGATGTCATCGTAACCGTTTCCACATCGACAGATGTTGCTGTCCACGAGGTTTATTCTATTGAGATGAGCATCTAGCGAGCAGTGGTTGGACATAAGTCTACTCATCACGCAAATGAAGTCATGACTTAAGTCCAAGCCTTTAAATCACGCTCTCGAAGAAACATTAGGAATAATTGAATGTAACCACCGTCCAAGATTTCCATTGTCCCAATCGGTTTGCCAACTCGAAAGGGTACTCTGACGCACTAAATGTTCAAATTCATCGTGTGAAATTTGCCTGTCATAAAATTCGCCTTCCTGCACGCCCACCTTTGCGAGAGAGTCCGCCTTCTCATTGCCTGGGATTGAGCAATGTGAGGGGACCCATACAAAGGTAATCATATATGATCTTTCGACCAGTACACTCATCTGCTCCCTTACCTTTGAAAGGAAATAAGATGAGTGCCTACCTGGTTTCATCGACCGAATAGCCTCAATCGAACTGAGACTATCCGAGAAGATGAAGTTATGGTCTGCGGGCATGTTGGAAATCATCCCCAATGCGAAGTTGATTGCTGTCAGCTCAGCAACAAAAACGGAACAAGGTTTCTGAAGTTTGCAGAAGGCGCTAGAGTTTTCATTGAAGACACATGAAGCCAGTGGGTCCATTGAGACGTGACCCGTCTGTAAAATATCTTTTCACCTTTTCACGCAATTGACGTGTTGGTACTTTTCAGTAGGAGGTGTGTTGGACAGGATCCATGGTGCGAACGTTCAGAGGTAATCATACCATCTACCAGAGTTGCGGCAACACACGCGAGCTGGGCACAGCTTTCATCGTGATGGGCGAAATGCAGAAGCGCGTGATCGGTTGGTGGCTGATCGACGAAAGAATGTGCAGGTTGAGGATCAAGGGCCGATTCTTCAACTTTAGCATAATCAACGTGCACAGCCCTCACTCCGGAAGCACTGATGATGACAAGGACGCATTTTACGCGCAGCTCGACCGCGAGTACGATCGCTGCCCAAGCCACGACGTCAAGATCATCATAGGAGACCTAAACGCTCAGGTAGGCCAGGAGGAGGAATTCAGACCGACGATTGGAAAGTTCAGCGCCCACCAGCTGACGAACGGGAACGGCCTACGACTCATCGATTTCGCCGCCTCCAAGAACATGGCCATACGTAGCACCTTCTTCCAACACCACCTCCCCTATCGTTACACCTGGAGATCACCACAGCAGACGGAATCGCAAATCGACCACGTTCTGATTGATGGACGGCACTTCTCCGACATTATCGACGTCAGGCCCTATCGTGGCGCTAACATCGACTCTGACCACTACGGTACCGACGCCCGCCACGGTACAACCTAGAGCGACTGAAGCAACCGGATGTCGCCTTAGCATACGCGCAGAATCTCGAGGCAGCGATGCCAGAGGAGGGCGAGCTTGATGTGCCCCCTCTAGAGGACTGCTGGAGTACAGAAAAAGCAGCGATCACCGACGCAGCCGAGAGCACCATCGGGTACGTGGAAATAAGTCGACGGAATGAATGGTTCGACGAGGAGTGCAGAGCGATTTTGGAGGAGAAGAACGCCGCCTGGAAGAAGCGGAGTGCGAGGAAATGGAACTGCTGTGCCGTTCCCAAGAAACACGGAAGTTCTACCAGAAGCTCAACGCATCCCGCAACGGCTTCGTGCCGGGAGCCGAAATGTGCAAGGATAAGGACGGGAGCCTCTAGACGGACGGACGTGAGGTGATTGAAAGGTGGAAGCACCACTTCGGGGCGCACCTGAATGGCGAGGAGAACGTAGGCACGGGAGACCAGCGCAATGGAGGAAACGACTACGTCAGTGCAACAGAGGACAGAACTGACCCAACTCCCACGCTGAGGGAAGTTAAGGACTCCATTCAGCAGCTCAAAAACAACAAAGCAGCTGGTAAGGATGGTATCGCAGCCGAACTCATCAAGATGGGCCCAGAAAAGTTGGCCACCTGCCTGCACCGGATGATAGTTAGGATCTGGGAAACAGAACAGCTACCGGAAGAGTGGAAGGAGGGGGTAATCTGCCCCATTCACAAGAAAGGCGACCATTTGGAATGTGAGAACTTCAGAGCGATCACCATTTTGAATGCCGCCTACATAGTGCTATCCCAGATCATCTTCCATCGTCTATCACCTAAAATGACCGAGTTCGTGGGAAGTTATCAAGCCGGCTTCATTGACGGCCGATCGACAACGGACCAGATCTTCCCCGTACGGCAAATCCTCCAGAAATGCCGTGAATACCAGGTCCCAACGCATCATTTGTTCATCGACTTTAAGGCGGCATACGACAGTATCGACCGTACAGAGCCAGTGCTGTAAATTCTCAAAATCATTTGAACATTTTTGATGAAAATGAGAAAAGTAGCTATTCCCTATCAAAGCGGACCTCCTCCGAATGGGTGATATCAGTTGCTTAGTCATTTGACGAAGACATGGATCATTCTCATTTGAGAAACGCTTTATATCATTCGATTGAGTGTAACCTACACACAAACGGAGCTCTGGTCGACATTCCGGCGAAAAAGCTAAGCCAACCCGACACCAACCTGACTTCTATCAAACCCCAACCCGATGTTGACCCGACATTGACCCGACATAAACCCAAAATTGACCCGACATTAACACGACATTGGGTCGACATCGACCTTAAATTAGCCTTACATTGATCCGACATCGGGTCGACTTGTCTGTTCGGGACCATTTTCCTGGATTTCTTCCATAGTCCACTGTCGTATATCAAATGATACTGAGTGACTCAATTGACAGTGACAATGAGCTTCGAATGAGAAAGGGGCTCTTCAAATTATGGTCATGTGAGAATTCGTTTACACAGAATTGATTGAATGGTTGTAGTGGTTCATCTTCAATCGAATGATATGAAAATTTACAGCACTGCACAGAGCTATGGAAAATCATGGACAAGAACGGCTTTCCTGGGAAGCTGATCAGACTGATCAAAGCAACGATGAACGGTGTGCAAAACTGCGTAAGGGTTTCGGGTGAACTATGCAGTTCATTCGAATCTCGCCGGGGACTGCGACAAGGTGACGGACTCTCATGCCTACTCTTCAGCATTGCTCTAGAAGGTGTAATGCGACGAGCCGGGCTCAACAGCCGGGGTACGATTTTCACGAAATCCGGTCAATTTGTGTGCTTTGCGGACGACATGGACATTATCGCAAGAACATTTGGAACGGTGGCAGAACTATACACCCGCCTGAAATACGAAGCAGCAAAGGTCGGACTGGTGGTGAGTGCGTCAAAAACAAAGTACATGCTAGTAGGCGGAACCGAACATGACAGGATTCGTCTAGGAAGTAATGTCACGATAGACGGGGATATTTTCGAGGTAGTGGAGGAATTCGTTTACCTTGGATCCTTAATGACGGCTGACAACAATGTGAGTCGTGAAATACGAAGGCGCATCATTAGTGGAAGTCGTGCCTACTACGGGATCCAGAAGAAAGTACGATTAAAAAAGATTCACCGCCGCACCAAATGTACCATGTACAGAACGCTCATAAGACCGGTGGTCCTCTATGGACACGAGACATGGACTATGCTCGAGGAGGACCTGCAAGCATTCGGAGTTTTCGAGCGACGTGTACTAAGGACGATCTTCGGCGGTGTGCAGGAGAACGGTGAGTGGCGGCGAAGAATGAACCACGAGCTCGCTGCACTCTACGGCGAACCCAGCATCCAGAAGGTGGCCAAAGCCGCAAGGATGCGGTGGGCAGGGCATGTTGCAAGAATGCCGGATAACAACTCTGCAAAGTTGGTGCTTGCTATTGATCCGGTTGGCACAAGAAGGCGTGGAACGCGGAGAGCACGATGGGCGGACCAGGTAGAGCGTGATCTAGCGAGCATTGGGCATGACCGAGTATGGAAAGCGGCAGCCGCAAACCGAGTATTGTGGCGTACTATTGTTGATTATGTCTTATCTTAAATGTGATGTTGTACAAATAAATGTATGTACTTTTAAGTAAAAATACGTGGGATAATAATAGTTCAAAGTTGACTTGAATCCCATGAATCACTTGTTTCATGGATAGATCATATTTAATTGAGAAACTGCTAATGGTGAAGTGAGCACGGGCTGGAGTATACCAAGGAAGACACATATCCGAAGATATGTAGTGAAGGTAGATTCTCATAAATCCAGATTCAGCCCAAGAATTTCTTCAAAATTTGCAATTATAAGTGTGTTCGTCACTCTGCATTTGATTAGTATCCTGAGAGAGAGCTCCCAGAAACGGTTCTGGAGAGGCGTTACTCCTGCCAGAACCTCGAGACTCATGTTATGCGTTGAGTGCATACACCAGAGAGCAATACGCAGACAACGATACTGAATTCGTTCCAATTTTATTAGGTGACATTTTCTTGCCGAGAGAAAGCAGAAAGAGTCGTACTCTAGAATAGAGAGAATTGTTGTTTCATAAAGCGTTATGAGACCCCACCATGGGCCGCAAATTGAAACCAACATTATTTCTCGTAGATCTTCGAGCCTTCAGGGGTTAATTTTCTTCAGTATCAAGATCATCAACTTAGGCTAAATTAAAATTTGTATACATATTGAAAATGCAACCTGCCTTAAATTTCCATCGAGAAAAACCCAAACCATTCCCGGCGGAAACTGTTGCTACTAATTGCCACTTTGACTAATGCACCAAACAGGAGCGCTTTCGCAAGCTAATTACCATCAATGGGACCATAAATTGCTGCCTTAAAAGTTATGCCTTTTTCTTATGGCTGATGTCATCGTTCTCAGAATTTGCTGCAAAGAGAAACGACTCATCGTTTGTTACGGTGGTGGCTGCCAGGAAACTTTCCACTTACTTCATTCATATAAGTCACTGAAACGCAATGTCGCATTGCATTGGGTACCGTTGCCTTGCTTTATTCCGGTCTCGGTGACTCAGGAAGGGTGGGCGAAAAAATTTCTCCCGAATCCAACCGAAACGAAAAGTTGAAATAAGCACCTCTGATGGATGGAGGGAAAAGTTTCGATTTTCTTTATGAATCATTGGTTTTCCTGCAGCTCGCAGCTACCATGCGATGGTATCGCTTTTCATCGGGCTTGGTGTGAAAGTTTCCCATGGTCAGAGAGAACACTATGAATTGACGGCACTGACGATGACCCTTTTGTCATATTTATTTTCAATGGTTTCTTTAAATAGTGAAAATTACTCTTCGGGAAACCTGGTGTTATCAACATTTAAATTTCGTTCTTTTTATTTAAAAAATTTTGTAATCAACTTATTTCACCAAAAGGGAATTCAAATCATTTTCTAAAATTTGAAAGGATCCTTCTACAACTACCCATATTCTAATCATTCGATTCCCTTTCCCTCTCCGACTAGATCTCCGATTGCGGACTCGTATTGGAGGAACAACCTGGCAAACTGGCCGAGGCATTCCGATTGTTCCTGCAGGGCGAAGGCTATGGTAAGTGTTAAAATTTATACCTTCTCCAATTCTAGAAAATCGTAAAACGAAAAAATACCCACAGCAAAAGATTGAAAAAAAAAATCAAAAGATTGAACTAAGAAGCTAAAAATAATTACAAAAGGCTTGTCGAAAAAGAAAGCAAATGATATGTTAATCCGGTAGCGAGTAAATTTTTGCGCATTTTTATTATACACACATACATCTATCTACATGTTACATCAGTTTAGGCTAATGTTGTTAAATAAATTTGAGAAAATTACAAAACAAATTCAAGCTTGCTCATTGATCACTCATAGATTTAGACTAATATTAGTGTAAATCACACTTGTCAAATCTCAACTCAAAAGCATTCAATTCATCACTTTCATCAAAACTCGCCATAGGAAATGATTGTCAAAATTTTGTCAACTACCTAATTCAACCCTTAGTTCATCAAAAAAACCATAAAAAAAAACAATTATAAAAAAAAATCCCACCTCGATAGAAATTCTAGAACCTAGCATCAATTAGTATATGTACAAAAAATCAACCGATAGCATTGGTTTCATTATAAATTAATATGATCGCTCTCACTATCTATGTTCAATATTTGTACACGACGAACCCGCTCCGGAAGCATTTGAACACCACATTCATCACATTTTGTAACATTAGGAAAAGCGAAACAAAACCAGCAAATCGATATTACTTGTATCCACCCCAATATTAACCCGCGCATTTATAGTAACAGCTACTAGCTTGGGGAGCTTGGCGCAAAACAACTGCTACCATTTATAGGCGCCTCAGAAAACTGTGTTCTCAATAAATCAAAGCTCCAATCGGATCGATTGCGAATTCAAATGCGAAAGACGGTGCTTTCCGCTTGAATTGAAAAGATTAAAAAAAAAATAAAACATTGGCTTTTCAATTACTCTTCTCATAAATGTCCCTAGTTCATCTTACGTGTGCGTATTTTTTTCTCTCTATCTCTCCGAGTGTGTCGAACACTAATATGATTTGTTGCAAATTTTCGTTGTTTGTTAACTTTCCGTCTGGGAGTGTAGAGGTCTCCGGTTTTAGGTGCTCAAAGTTTGGCTCTTTTGGCTCGTAATTTCAATCATTTTTCCTCACTGAGCACACTGGACAAGCTGGAGATAAATTGGTTTTTGATTTTTTTTTGTTGTGTAGCATCATTTGTTTTTCATCATTATTATCATTTTAAGGACTCATCTGGATCATCCATCTTCGCTGAAATTTCAAATCGTCTGGGTAGATAAAGACATTTAAAAGCACGGGTTGACGGTTAATGTTATGTATCGAGGGAGTTTGAACAACAGATTTTTGGTATTTTGATTTAAATGCATATTCCAAATTAATTTATAGGGTGTCCCAGAAAGTCTAAGCACGATTAAAAAAAAAACGATAACGTAACTCTGTTTACAGTAAATTCGATTTTTATTTCGTATTCATGTTCTCTATAGTATTCTCTTACAGCTAAACATAGGAAATGCGAGATCCGACCAGTCGTAAGCCAAGGGTCGGATTTTTGATCTCACGCTTCGCATTAGCTTCAGCACTGTTGGCTTTCCAACAATTTTGGATACTTTTTCTCAGTCTTACGCAAACTTTGTAACGACATCTGCTGCCTTTACATGTTTCCGCAAATATGCTTTGGTCAGGACCCAAAAAGTTTCGATTGGCCTGGCCTGGGGACAGTTTGGCGGATTCATCTCCTTGAGTAAGAATTGAACCTTGTTGGCTTTATACCAGGCTACCGTGTCCTTGGAGTAATGAACCGACGCCAAATCCGTGCTGAGGCGTTGTTTTTGCGGATCATGGGTAACAGACGCTTTTTTAAACACTCACGCACGTAAACATCGGTTGTCATTGTATCTGTTGTCACAAACGGTTAGGAAAGCATACCACACTCAGAAATGGTTTTCCAAACCTTAATCTTTTTAACGAATTTTTCATCTTATCCGCGTCGTCAACACTTCGGCCATCACGAACGGTGTATTACCGATCACCAGGAAGAGTTTTGTAATCAAATTTAATGTATGATTCATCGTCCATAATCACGCACACCGATTTTCCGCACAGAAATTGGACGGATGCGGCTTGTATTTCACTCCGCTTTGGCTTCTTCTGCTTCTTATACGTCTTGCCTTGCCTATTCTTGCCTTGGCCTGCTGGACGTTAGTCTTCGAGGATCCCACTTTTTTAGCCACGTCTCGAACCGAAGCTCTTTTCTTGCGAGTGAAAGCTTGCACGATTTTCCGGTCCAGATTTCGGTCGACAAGGTTCGGTTTACGTCCAGATTTTTGCTTGTCCTAGAAAGTTGCTTCATCACCATACTTCCGAATCGCGTTTCGAACGGCTCCGATGCTTACACCTTCGAATTTCGCTAATTAAATCAGAGAAATGTTGGGGATAGTACACCGTTTGTGCACGATCTGTTTGCGCTTTTCCGGAGAAATGCTTCGCATTGTCACGGAAATGTAAAGAACCTTACACTTGTGATACACGAAACTGTTGATCGAAATGTAAACAATGATTCAGCGTGATAATCAGCTGTTTAAACGTCATCTGAAACAACAAGGGGTGTTCCAAATTCATGCTTAGACATTCTGGGACACCCTATATGATTATGGGCTGACGTGTTATCGGGTTTGAGTCATTTGAATTCATATGTCTATACAGAGCTGGAAAAAGGGCCTATCTGCTTTGATCGATTGTCTTCCTCGACTTTCTCTTTTGATAACCACGGCTATGCAACCAGTTTCCGTGCCAATTTTGCCACATAGCATGATAAAGGAGGTTATTATCTATCGTCCAAGTCGTCAAATACAACAGGGAACGATGAAGAGAATCGATCAAAGGAGATAGGCCCTTTTTCTAGCTCTGTGTAGATGTATACCAGAAGCCTCCGAAGTCACAATTGAGATCGATTTACGAAAAACAAAACTAGGGAAAATGGGGGTAAAATGAGCACCTTAAGGAGATTTGTGATGTTTATGGTGAAAATAAGTGTATTCTGGGTATCTCGTTAGACATAATGCTAGTTTAACTTATGTCTTTGATATCGAATACAGATATTAACATAGCCATATAATTTTGAACATTTTTAATAAATAATCAAAAAAGCTTTCATGTTGAATTTTATTTCATGGGGGGGGGGGGTTAAACGAACAGTCATAAACACTTAGTTTTTTTCTACCAAGCTCGGCTGTGCAAATTTCGGCAAAAAAAGTTTTACTAATAGCGAATTCGTTTATTATCGGTTTATGCGGAAACCAAACTTTTTGTCAGTGCGAACCTCAACCTGAGCTAGGTTTTAAAAATAAACGAGAAAACTGACGTTTGTCAGAAAACAAGCAGACCCAATGTTGATACCCGATCCAGGTTGGAACTGAATAATAAACGAATTCGCTATAAGATCTCAGCAAACATTGCATTTGTTTGCTGAGATTCAGCTAAGCATTATCCGAGACTCAGCTATCAAAAATCCAAATGTCACTTTTGTTGAGATCTCAGTGAAACTTATTTTTGCGGAGAATTGGACAGCCAAGCTCTGTAGAAAAAACTAAGTGTGTAGGGTAATTTTTTTTTTTATTTCTTTACTAAGGAGACTTCTAGCTCTGGACTGGTTCGTCTCCGGACACCCCAGAAGGGGGTATCCCAAAGGGAGAGAAGGTACAGAGTTTTTATTTTACGGAGTTGAATGGTGGTGGCGGTTCCAGAGAGGAACTTATTTTGCCTTACTGTTCTATGTTGCTGTAATCTTTTGTGTTTTCTGTTTTGTTTTGAGGACCCCAGCAGAGCCCCACCGGTAGAAGCTGCCAGGAGAAACCTGGCACCCGCTACCGGCAGGGAATGCCGGGCCTACTGTAATAATATATATGGGTTAAACTCTCTTGTAGATTCCGGCCTCCTTCGCGAAACATATCAGTTGTGCCTCTGCTATCGGGTCGTTCTGAAGGACATCTCGGATGTTGCCCGGGATCCCATAAAGTTCTCGTGGTCCGTGGAAGAAAGGGCAGTTTATTTGAATGTGCTCGACCGTCATTACTGTTCTGCAGTTGGCGGAAGTTTTCGCCACTGCTGCTCCCCATGTTGTGGGTGATGCGGGTGTGGCCGGTTCTTAACCGGGACAGGAATCTCTGGTCGTTAAACCTTGGGACATCCGTCCAGGGAAGAGCTACCCCTTTGGTCTTCCGAATGAAGAGGTCTCTCCTGGAGAACCATTCGCGGTCCCATGCCGTCCTGAGGGTTGATTTGATCCAAATTTTCAGGTCCTGTCTGGGGACCGAAGTGTTGGCGAGTCGGCCATTTCGTCCAATGGCTGCGAGGTGGTCTGCTTCTATGTTTCCGGCAATTCCGCAGTGTCCCGGTATCCACATGAAAGTGGTGCCAGGGGGTGTGGTTTTGTGTGGCCTGAAACCAGGGGTGGCGGGCGGTGGTGGATTCCAGTGCCGCGAGGGCGCTAGCAGAGTCGGTAAGCACACATAGCGGAGAGGAGGATGGTAGGGAAGCTGCGTAATGAAGGGCTGCAGTCTCGGCCGAGAAGACCGAGCATTGATCGGGGAGTCTCCAGAAGTGTGAGGTCTGTCCATCAGTTACTCCAAAGCCGACCCTGCCTCCTGCGTTGGAGCCGTCGGTGAAACGGAGTTCGTAGTTGTGGTACCGTGCTTGTAGTAATTCGGTGAGGCAGGATCTCATTGCCGTAGAGTTGTCTCCTGCTCGGAACTGCTTGGCCATGGATTTGTCCACTCGGATGGGGGAAAAATCCCACTCTCTGGCTCCGTTCCAGTGGATCTGGGCCACTGGGGGGAGCTCCTGGTGAGCGATTCCCTTCTGTGAGGAGATAGGAGCTCCCAGCTTAATTTTTCGTCGAGGCCCACGGCTCTGGTACAGATTGATTCCGCAATGCAATATCGGAAAGGGAGCACTTCGATTTCAATACAGGCGGTATCGGCTGGGTTTTGAGGGCAGAAGTCCAGCCGCAATTCGTATTGCCT